GACAATATCCTTCCGGTTGTATATACCTTAATAATGACAAAATATATATGTTTTTATAAATAAATAACATACCCTTAATTTTCTTTTCTCGTTAAATATCTTAATATTAAAAAACTTCAAATACATATATCCAAATAATAACAATAATTTTAAAAAAAAATTTTCAGAGTTATTGTTCCACCTTCTGATCAGAAATTTGAATCAATTGCATTAGTCATCTCTAGAAAGTTCTAGTCACGAGTAATATTTGTGGCTGAATTTTATATTAAACATCTATGGGTAGTCTCAAAAACCTTCGCTTTTCTAATCTTAAGCATGCTTATAGGCCTTGAGGCTATAATACAACACTTTTACATGAAAAAAGCTTTGACTGTAATTAATTAATAAGACAGCGCGATTGAATGTTTTGACCAACCCTTAATTATTAGTTAGGGGTCCTTTTGATTATTAAACGTTTTATCCATCATTAGTGTTTTCAAATCGTCCAGGAGCCGGTTTCCCTCCCGTCTTTAACGATCTTGTTATTTATTTATTTTTTTGTTTAATATTAATGTTAATAACGGTCACAAAAAGCAAATACATGTTCATTTGTCACCTTGACAGAGGACCTTATAATAATTACCTAAGAGACATGACAAATCCCGTTCTGCGCTTTGATTTCAATAAGACATTTATATAAAAAATATATATATCAATACAAAAAAAAAGTTCCACTGGTCGTTAATAAATGACATTTCTCCTTTGGAACTAACCATATCAAGTAGCAACACCTCTAGTATCCGTCTTGGACTATTTTTCAAAAAAAAATAATAATAATAATAACAAGTTTTGTAATCGAGGATGTGCAAGTGAGCAGGAGAGACCGTTCTGGGAACACAAAATTTTGGCCCACTGACTTTGGCTTTACCAATTTCCCATAAAACTAAAAAAAATCCCCATTGATAACGTAGAAATAGATATGGGTTTGATTCATTTTGTCAACATCACTTCACCAACAATCATTTCATTAACAAATCTAAGAAGTCGGAAGCAACCACGCGACAAACTATTGAAACAGTTCAATAAATTAGATAATTGTACTACTCAAAAATGTATTTAAAGGGTTGGTTATTTTGATTATATTGAGAGATATGGTCAAGAGAAGAGTTAGGAAGAGAGTTATTCTTCAATAAAGTCGAAAACCTTAATATAACAAATGTCAATGAAATGATCACAAACACAACGAAATTAAGATACGTGATCAAGATGAAAAATGAACAACGTGTGAAAAATCAAACAAATGTTACATAAAACATCACCTTCTGTCCATGTTGATGGACGTGGTAGATAAAAAATAAAAAAATAAAACCAAAAAGGTAAGGAAAGACCAAAAATTTTTTTTAACATCAGATGAACGAATAGTGAAAGATAATTAGATTTAGTAAAATAATAAATAATATATAAATTAATAAAATAAACTAGAGTCAAATTCAACAGGATCTTCTTCCCCGCTGATTTTTCTAAGCCCATTATTATACATTGCTGTATTCAATTTTTTTTTTTTCAACATGTTATATAAAATATTTTTTCTTTTGGTTGAATCAAAATACATTTTGGTATAACATAAAATTGCATCACCCGAATAATGATAATACCAAGACCAAGCAGTAAAATTTGTTCAGACTTTTTTTTTACTAAGAATATAAAATCATTGTTTTTTCTCATTGACATTGAAATGAGGTAAATAATTCTGCCTTGCATTGGAACATATATTCTTAACGTTAACTAACTAATTTCATTTTAGTCACCTATTTGATTTATTTTTCTAATGATAAAAAACATTTAATTCAAAAAAATTTTATATATGGGAATGCTGCAACGATTACTATACTTAAAGATTCCTTGCAAAAACCCTACACAAAAATTACCAGGTATAAGACATTTTCGATTTTGATCTGTTCACATTAATATTGCTAAGAAAATATGCATTCAAAATGACTAATACATTTGTAACAAATCATATAACAAGCTTTAATGTCATTTTGTTAAGTTGGCATTATACAATATTAAAAAAGACAATTGCACTACAACATCACAATTTCATATTTCTTCTATTACTCAACAGAATTTTTATAAGTTTTCAACTTGGTGATGTATACTGGATATCCATCGTGAACAACATTGAATTTCCATATCTCTTAATAATTCTGTTATTCGTGTATTCAGATGTTGAACACAAGCCTGTTCATGAGAGATCATAACTAATCATAATTAATAAATGACTGTTAAAAATAATATTTCAAAGTATTACTAACCCTAAATGCCAATAATTTTTTTATGATATCTTCCAACAGGTATAATTGCATCAGCATATTAGGTATTACAAATGATAGATCAGTTTCATCAACCAGATACATCAGGAAATTTTCCCCACTGCAATATTATGTCCATAAATTTTAATATGTAAAGTTGTAATATTTGCATAAAAATTATGTAATATTTACACTTGATGTAATAATTGCATAATTTTTGTATGCTTATTTGCATAATATTTAATATAATGTATCTAAATCTCAAGTGTGGTTTAATATAAAATATTTAGTGAAAAATAAGAAAAATTATATATACATTTTTTTTTTCAATTGAAATTTTTTGAAATTTCATTGATCTCTCCTCAAAACTACATATTTTTTTCTGAACTTTTCCTAATTATTATATACAATAAAATATATCAAAATTTCAAGTGTGGTTAAATGTAAAATACTTAGTGAAAAGTGAGGAAAACTATGTATTTATTGTTTTCTTTTCAATTGAACTTTTAAAATTTCCCAAAAATAGCAACACTATTTTTAATTTTTTTGTGAACTCTCTTTAATTAGCATCTATAACCTATTATATCAAAAATTTCAAGTGTGGTTAAATATAAAACATAGTAAGAAAAAACTGATGATAACTATACATGTAGCCCAAAGTATTTTGACACTGTCATAAAGGGAGTTACACATGTAGTAAGGGGGTGTTACACTTATGTTTTTAATAGTGAGTGCCGTAATTAATTTCTACTTTCTACCATCAAAATCACCAAACCAATTTGGGCTGGATGTATAATGATAACATTTTTTTAATGAATTATTGAGTTGGTTAAGTAGTAGTAGTGGCAGTAGATTCTTGATTTAATTGAGTAGTGGTGCAGCAGCAACTAATTCTTGGTTTAGTTGAGTAGCAGCAGCAGCAGCAGCAATGGATTCTTGAGTTGGTAGAGTTGTATGTATTTTATATTTTAATCTATGAAGGCTTGAATTACGGCTATTACAAAGCAAAAAAGAAAAACTTTTGGTGAAACTAAAACCATATCTATAATATCTATTTTTTTTCTTTCAATAAAAGTATTTGTTGCGAGTATAGGGACATTCAGTATGGTATAACTCTTGCAAAACATATGGTATGGTATTGTATAAGTGTAATAAAATGGTTGTATACCAATTCTTAAATCTAACATACTTCCCTTCACACCCACCAAAAAAGGATTTAGAATAAAATTTTGTGTGACTTGGTATGGAAAAATATGGGCTATACCATACCATACCATACGTTCTGCAAGAGTTATACCATACTGAATCTCTCCCTACCGATTTGTTGCTCTTTTAAAGTATTTGAGGTCAGATCAAATTTTCTTGAATTAAAATTATTGTTTTGTTTTTTTAACAGATTTTGTTTTCCAATTCACAATCACAATCTAGAAAAGTTTGATCTACTTTGCATCTAAGGCAGATTTGACATAAAAAACATGTCCAATTAAATATTCCCTAGAAAAAATATCTTGTTTATCCATCCCTGGCTAAACAAAATTTGAAAAATAATTATTATAATTATCAATTATTCAAAAGATTTCATTGGAAAAACATTATCATCAGTCTTTTCTTACTATGTTTTATATTTAACCACACTTGAAATTTTTGATATAATATGTTATAGATGCTAATTAAAGAGAGTTCACAAAAAAATTAAAAATAGTGTTGCTATTTTTGGGAAATTTCAAAAAGTTCAATTGAAAAGAAAACAATAAATACATAGTGTTACCGGAATTAGATTCTGATGGGGATATTTTGGACGAATCTCGTAATTCCGGATCAAATTAATTATATTTCTATTTTTTATTTATTATTTATTTTTAATTTATTTTTATATTTATCATTTTCTATTTTTATTTTTCCATTTATTAGAACTATAAAAAAACTGACATTGAATCGTAAAAAAACAATAAAACCGGCCTAACTGAAGAGTTTCACAGGGATGAACTGATTTCATAAGAATTAAGAATAGGACATGGATAAGGATATGACAATGATATGACAATGACAGACAATGATAATGGAATTATCATTAGGATAAAATAATTTTTGGGAACAAATTTTTTACCTTCGTTGGGTGTTTGATTTAAAAAAAGAATCAAAACTTCTGATTGAAATTGGTTCAAATCAAATTGAATAATATTATTGAAACTTTCTTTATGATTCAATTAAATAAATGTCTGTACTTTTTTTTTAATGTATAGAGTGTAAACTAACATTGTTACAAATTTTTTGTAGAATTTGTTTAGTTTAGAACTAAGAAAATTCAGGATTTAATTTATTTAATTCAATATTAATTATTTTATTGTTCTTATAATAATAAGAAATTTTATTTCTTGTAAACATGTTTTGTTAGTGGTTTTGTCAATTCAATTTCTTATAAATTTCCTTGAATTTTCTATAAATACTTTTCTTGATGATTTTGTTAAGTTGACTTTTTGTAAATTTCTTGTAAATGTTTTCATTTTCCACAGAAATTTACGTTCTCTTGTAAATTTGCCATGAATTTTTTGTATTACAAAAAATTCATGGAAATTTCTTATAAACTTTCTGCAAACTTTTTCATATAGAATAAGATTCGTGTAAATTTTTAATAATTTTCCTGTAACTTTTCTGTAAAACCTTTTTTCATAGGGCAACAACAAGGCTTATTACACCATTCTTTAAATTTTGAATTTTATACTGATGGATCACTTATAAATCTAGGTAAAGAAACAATAAAATGGGCATTGCTTATATTCAAACACATCCAGGCTTCCCGCATTAGAATTTGGAGTATCAGTAAAAAAAAAGGCTTTCTGCAACATGTGCTGAAATTGCAGCTATAACAATTGCTTTATTAATTGCATCTAAAGACTCTAAAGTTACTATTTTCACAGATATTAAATCAACAATAGATCAATTTAACGATCCAATTTTAGAGTTCAAGCAGATTGGAATACAAGTTATGTAATATAGTTATATAAATATCAAGAAATTTAAGTGAACAGGTTTATCTCCAAACCTGTTAACAATCACAGTTTTTTATCATTATGCACAATAAAATAAATGTTACATTTTGGCAATTCATATTTTGTCATTACATATATTTATTCTTTTTTATTAATTTTCTTGAGAACGTGCTTCAAACATACTCTGCTAATAAATTAAACTATTTATGACATAATCTTTAAAGTATAATTGAAGGCATGTTTGTGATGCACTTCAAGTGAATATTAAAAATATTAAATTGAATTTGTGCTTAAACTCAGTATAATTATGCTCAAACGAAGCAAATTAACATCACAGGTTGAGATCCGACTTGGGTATTTATTACAATTAAAATTTTTTCGTTTTTGTTATTAGTCATTTTGTATCTTTAAAAGGTCATCTTCTCTGATAAAAATTTCAATTATGTCATAGGAGCCACCATACAATGAATATTTTTGGTGGAATGAAATTCAAAAAAAAAATTATTCAATGTAGTGTGTATATATAATTAAACATATCAAATATATCAGATATTATTTTATAGAAAAATCCTAGCAATAATTCAAGAAAATCCAGAAAACTTAGAAAATTATCCACAAGTACCATTAGTGATGATGAACTAAATATGAAAGAAATAAAAAGACAAATATATTGAAGTCTCAAGCATTAAAGATAATATTGATTCAAGTCAAATGAAAATTTTAAGTGGTCAAACAAATAATGATGATGATGATGATGGTTCTCGGACATCCAATAGTTATTCTCCAAGTATACCTTCACTGGCTTCTCAATGAAAATCAATACTAAACAATAAATCTGCAGAATTTCAATCAAATCAAACTTTTTAAAAATTTCCATGAAATTGGTTCAAATATGATAAAAAAATTTTCATGCTTGCACTAAATAATAGTTTATATATTAAATACCACTCTTTAAACAATATTGTAAGTGAGCTAATACTATAAAGGAACTAAGAAAAGAAAAAATTTTATTTTGTTTGCACAATAAACAACGATTTATTTTCTAATTAAATCAAATAATATAATATTAAATTGTGTTTTTATCAATTCACTAATTTTTCACGATCTCTAAATTTTATTGTAAAAGGTTTGGGTCCTGACCAATTCGTTATTAGATTATCAAAAGAATTGATATTAATAATAGAAAACCTACAAGTAAATTTTATTGACTTTAATTTTTTTGGTAATGTTTGATTTAGCACTGAAAGTATTTCATCACCATTAAACATATTCACATGAAAATTTTTAAGTATAATACTTTCTAATTTAATACAATTGTTGAATACTTCTGTTAACTCCTGGTTTACTTCATCATTATAAAATATTGATAAACTTACTAGATTTTTACACCATTGTGCAATTGATTGAAATAGTTTTCCCAAAAATTCACTATTACACAGACTACTGCTAACATTCAGATATTTAAGAGTTTTTCCATTGATGCTAATAAATTCAGACAAATCTGATAAAGATAGTTGTTTGCATTGATATACTGCCACAGATTCAATATTTGGAAGTGAAATATTTTTCAACAATTTTATCCCATCAGCAGGAAAAGAATTAAATGTTAAAGTCTTTAAATTTTTAAGTGCTGGTAATAATATGCAATCCATATTAATATTATTGAATCCACTTGAATAATAAATTATTGATTGTGAATGTGAGAGAATTGCTTTTTTGAAATTATCTGGAAAAATTTGACCAGAGTATAAATGAATAGCTAATTGCTTTATTTGATTTTGTGCTTTAATTAGTTGAGTCAGGCTATCTAGAAGTTTATTGTCACATATATCAAACAATTCTAATGATTGAATACATTTGCAAATATTTGCTAATTTATCAATAAATTCATTATTAATAAATTTATAACAAACTAATTTATTAAGATTTTGAAAACAATTATCAAATCTATGATGATTATTTAACTGATAAAAATTTATATTAGAAGCATTAAACTCTTTAATAGCTGCTGAATGATCTAAAATAAAACTTACTAGCCTATCTTGTAAAATATTTAATTTGCAAGAATTTGTAAGCAGTGATTGAAAATTAAAAATTTTAAAATAAAATCTAGTACAAAATCTAGCATAATTATATAATGGTGATTTATCCAATAGCTCAAAAGTCAATTCAATGCTATTCCTTGTTAAGAAATCTTTATCTTCTTTCAATAAACAATTAATTATTATTTTGATAGAATCATAAGAATAAAGTGGATTTCTCCATAAAATCGGAAGATTAATATTGTGCCATTGTTTATTGACAAGAATGCAAGAATATAATGTTTCATAATCATCATCACTGTGTTTAAATACTTCAGATAAAAGCTCAAGTGGCAAAATCATTGTTTTTTCGTAGAAAGAAAATTTTATTTGTTGCACAATAAAAATGATTTTTTCCCAACAAATTAAAATCAAATAATATATTAAACGAGAATTGACCTATAAGAAATCATTATTTCTTGGTAATGTTTGACCTAGTATTGAAAGCATTTTATCACAATCAAATATATCCATAAAATCAATTACAATTATTGAATACTTCAGTTAGCTCCCGGTTTACTTTATCATTATAAAAATAAGTTTACTAGATTTTACACTATTGTGCAATTGATTTAAGTAGCTTTCCCGACAATTCTCTATTGGATATTTAAGAGTTTTTCAATTGACGTTAATAAAATTATAAATTCTGATAGAAATGGTTGATCATAAATATGTAACCTCACGGATTCAATATTTGACAATGAGATTATTTTATTCTGTACAAGTAGCAGTAGGTAATGTTAATAATAAAGTCTCTGGATTCTTTAAGCACTGGTGATAATTAAGTCTCTGAACGAATCAATAAAATTTGAACTGAACTGATTTGATTTAATTCAAATCAAACACGAATCAAGTACAAATTGTGCTTTGACTTGATTCAGACCGGTTTTGAATCTATAAATGATTTGATTTGAAATCTAATTCAAATATATACACATATGAAATAATTTGAATTCTGCACAATTTTAAAAAGAGTTGCCTTTGGAAATAAATGGTTTTGAAAGTCAAAAAAAATATCTGCCTAATACAATAATTGCATTTGGTTTTTTCCATCTACAACTGTGAAATGATTCCACACTTCACTTCTTGTTCTTCTTTGAACACATGATTGCACCGTGCCTGTTTAAGAAGTAGTTGAAGAGACATTTTCAACAATGCATTTATCATCATTCATCATTGTTACAATTTCACTGTATCTTCGTTACATACTATGTATGATTGTATTTCGTACAATTCGTACAGATTCGTTGTGGTCGTACACCTGTACGAATGTATGAACAATGATTTTCTACAAATATTTATTTTGTAAATAATAACAATAATATTACTATTATCATTACCAGGTCGTAATACTACTTCATTATTAGAAAAAACCTGATTATTCATGTTATATTTACTTAAACCCCTTTTATTTGACTATTCTTGGCACATTATTTATGATTTCTAATTTTTTTCCTATTATTAATTAAAGAAAATTACCTTTTTTAATTATATTATCAATTCAAATAATTAATAGTAATATTAAATCTTCATACAATAGTTAATTCCATAAACATTGTCACAGTGGACTATAATCAAATTCTTATGGTAATGATTTTAAATGAAGTTTTCTTATGTATCCCCTTCATCCGCTTTTTGACTGTACATCTTTTTTTTTTGTATAAATCACACGATATGCGTACGTACATACCAGGGACGATGATTTTGCATAATAAATAGCCACAGACGGAATGTGTATTTAAAAACAGGAAATACTATAATAATGTCTGCAGATAATATAAAAAAGGGGAAGCTAAATAAGTGTATATATATAACATGATAATCGAGGAGTTTTTTAGAATTACGACCTTAATTATTATTAGTATTAGTAATAGTAATAGGGTTAAATATTAACGTTAAGAAATTTTGCGTAACTATTATTGTTATTATAGGATTTGGCTAGTTTGTCTTCAAATGAACAGCCACAACCCATTAAAAAAAACAAAAACTAAGCAGACAAAAGCATAGTTAGACATGGACTTACTCCTCAAAAGTGATAAAAACGATCAAGTACAACTAGTACCAGATTCGTCTAAAACTGGAAATTTTTTTACTCGTAAAGAATGTGGTGCCGTTTTTTTTTGCTGATGATAAATTACAATCATCATTCTTCAAATCAAATAAAAAAAATATTTTATTTTAAATTCTTTTAACAAATGTTTTTAATAAATATATATACTTTATGTTAATATCATATTAAACTATTTGTAATATTTTTTTAAAATTATAATAATGCAGATATTATGACGGGGAATTATGCAGAATAGTAATAGCGTATTTTTTGATGCATAGTATGCATGCGGAATTTTTGTTTTTAGCATGGCACTTCATCACCGCAGAAAATCATTGTTTCCTGGTACATACATGTACGATATGTGCGAATACGATATCCCAACCCTGATTAGAACAATGTGATCTTCTGACATTTTGACCCCTGTGACTTTGTTTGACAATCATTTGCAAAAAGGTTATCACGTGAATGTAGTTTTGTCCAATGAAATTTAAAGAAAAATTTGGCAACGATTGTTGTTATTTTTGAAGAGTAGAACCCATCATTTTTGGTAAATATTAAATAAAACCTCAGCCCATTAAACAATCGGGAGTAATTTAAATTAACATTAAAATTAACATTAAAATTAACATTAATATTACAGTAAATAATATTAAGTCAAGTTAATACTCTATATATTAATTAATATACACTTAAAACTGCTGCACTAAATTAATTCTGTACTTTTCTTTCGTCAATTAATATATGTGTGTTCGGCTTTGAAACAAAAAAAAAATACAATCTAAACTTGACAAGAACAAATATGATTGCACCATTAACTCAAAATATTCCATGTCTTGTGATTTACAATGGTTTGTGCCTTTTACCAATGCAATGTATTTTCCAGAATCCTATAAAAGCTCTTATGCAACTGTTCATTCGACACAACAAGAATCCATTTCAATACTTGATAGTTATTGCAAACTGTAATCAAAAGCCCAAGCTATGATTAACTTGAAGAACTTCAAGTATATAGTGCAGTTACAAATAATGCCAATAAATATCATAAATACATGGATGATGCTATCAAGGATTATTATTTGAAAAGTGACATATATATTAATCAATATATAAAATAGAGATCAATTCTTGTAAACTTTTTTTACAATTTATATTTTAATAAATTTTTTTCAGCTGTTAACTATTTATGAAGATTCCAACCATCCGAAACCCAGATCTTGTGAATTTGACGACTCAATCAAATAATTATAATTACCACTGTTATTCTTGCTATATACAGAAACAATAAATCTTAAAGGACAAGCTGAATTACTGAAGAATTTTAAATTGTAATTTAATAACAATTCTGATTATAATTATATAAAAAATAATTTAATTCGTGTAAATTAATTATTTTCTCAGTCAACTAATATGAAGACCAAGAAGGAAATTAGCACAAAGGTTGTAATAATTTTTAGTAGAAATAGTAATTATTAAGATTTCTAATTCTAGTTAATTAATTTGATGTTTAATTTTAATGATAATGATAACAATCTTTTGAACAAAAATTCTAAATTTCATTGTAGATTATCGAGTTATCAAGAGTATCACAAATAAAATTAATAAAATTTCCATTGACTCTAATGGAAAAAAAGTATATTATATATAGTATATAAATAGTTATGATGATAATTTATTATTTGAAAAAAGTTTATAATCTGCCTTGTATAAAATTACGCGTTCTAAAGTTTGGAATAAGTTGGGAATTTTTATTGATTTGAATTTACGCATTCTAATTAGATTTAAAAAGGAAAAAAAATTTTTTTGTAATCAAATGATATAAGAAAAAAAATTACTGTAAATATATAATAAATTCCAATAAAATTAATCAATTATTGGTAAAAAAATAATTTCTTCTCTCTTTTTTAACAACTTCTTACTAATTAAAATTTTTTTTCTTCATAAAAAATAAATATATTTATTTATATTTATATTTCCTTACTTTCTTTTCTCCATTTAATAGTTAATTATATTTAATAATAATAATAATAATAATAATAGGTAATTTAACTTATTCCAATTCTTATTATTCTACAAAGGAATCTTTCTTTAATCTCTCTAATCTATAAAATATATTATCTATACACATATACATATTAGCACTTCATATTCTTATTTCTATATTGGAAGAACCATTAATTCATCTTGAGCAAGTAGATAAATATAATAATTATTGAGGTAATAATAAAAACAAATATTTTTATTCAATGATATATTCAAAACAAGAAATATGTATTTTTGTGTGTTAATATATTGTATTCTTTTTTCCAAAAAAAAAACTTTTATTTAATAAGATCCAAAGTAATACAAACAATCAATTGGAAGTATATAAATGAATTGAAAAAACAATGATGGCGTCAGTAATGAAAAGAATCCTACCTACTACTCTCGTAAAGTTTAACAACAACAACAATAATAGCAATGATGATGATGATAGTGGAATCTCTTCTTATTCTTCTTACTATCCTTCTTATTCTTATTCATCGTTTTCGTTACTGTCATCAGCAACATCGACTTCAACGTTATCTTTGTCAAACCTTGCAAATGAACAATTACAAGAAATCCCAACGAGGACAAATTCGATGGTTAGAGCAAAAAAAGCAAAAGTTATATCCTCATCGTCATCACTAACAGCGGTATCATCGACAAGACAAACATTAATTGTCAGACCATCAATTGCGATGACTTTACCGATGGAAATTATATGTGAAATATTTAATTACCTTGAAGAACATCCGGCACATTTTACAAGAGGCTCACTAGTATGTAAAACATGGTATTACTCTACTCAAAATCATCTGTATTGGAAAAGACTATGTGAACTTCTCAAGTTACCATCACCAAAGCCAAGAGCTTACAAATACAAAACATACAAATCTATAGTTATTAAAAATTGGGGCTCTTTCTGTAGCTTGTGTTTAAGAAAACGTAGAAAATATGATCCACCCATCAAACCAATGTTAGTTGATATGGATATTGCTGATAGAATTGATTTCAAAAAAAGTAAATGGTACATAATTATTTACAAAAAAAAAGAAAAAAAAGAAATTAACAATAGTGATAATAGTAATGTTGATAATGGCGGTGAAAGTAACAATAACAATAATAGTAACAATAACAATAACAATAATAGTAATAATAATAGTAATAATGGTAATAGTGGTGGTGGTATTAATAGTAGTAGTAATAGTATTTTAAAACAAGAAGATGACGAGGAGGAGGACGACGAAAATGAAGAGGAAGAGGATATTGTCAACAAGCCAAAACTTAAACATCACCTTTGTACTTATTGTGAAGCAATATATTGTAGATATCAAAAAGATAAAGCAATAAAAAGACGTCGTAAAAAAATAAAATCGTCACTTGCAAAATGTGGAATTCAATTACCAACTAATGATGATATATGTGAAAGATTGATAGATGATGGAAACATCAAAGGAATTCTTCACTATTTGAAGTTGAAACTGGAGGAAGAAAAAGAGGTAATTTATACTTTTAAAAATTTCTTCTCTTGAGAGAAAAATAATAATAATTGGCAATATTTTTTAATTTTTCAATTTTTCATTTAGGAATTGTTTAAAGCATTATTGGAATTAGAAAGAAATGGATGATCAATTATTTTCTCGTTTTCAAATTTAAAACAAAGCTGCATATTATTATTTGTTCGTTCATCGTATTATTAGAAATAATAACAATCATAAACTAATCTTTATAAATATATATTAATATAGAATATGTATAGCATTCATGTATTTCTAGAAGATAATATCGAGAGAGAGGGCGAAATATAATATAATAATAATAATAATTTTCTTTCTTTACCAATTAGATTCTATGCAAATTTGAACATTTTGATTCTATTTATTTTATTATGAAAAAAATTATAATTACAAATATATATAATAAATCAATTAGTTAATTAATTAATTAAAAAACTAAAATCGACGAGTCACTCGCCGACCATCTTGTAATGGTATTTAATATATTCGGATTTCCTTCTATAAGTAACTGGGTTCTTGAAACTGCAATTTGTTTTGTAAAACCAGACGATATTCTACAGCAACCTCTTGGGCCGCTCAAGAAATAGTTTGAATTTATGCAAACTAATTTATCTAATATTCCTTGTACACCTGGACCTTCGAGTTCGTCAATTAAGTGTTTTTTCTCTTCCACTTCCTCTTCCTCTTCCTCACCCTCACCCTCTTCTTTTCCAATATAATTTAAATATCCGAAAGCATTTAAAGATTTCCAAGTTTCGATACCTTCTATTGAAGAAGTTAGTATATTCATTGCTCTAATATGTTGAGCTGTAATATCACTAAAAGTGTCAGACTGTGTCTTCATAACATTAGAAATCTCAGTATTTATGATGCTGCCATTCTTGTTGTAAGATATGGGGAAATCGGTTGCCAAATAAACATTTTTTATTCTAGTATTTTTTTTTATTTCATTTATCGTTCTAACTAATTCCTTAGCACAACCCGGCAGATTGGCAGACCTTGTTTGTTCCATTCTCCAATGTATCGCGATATACGATGACTCAAGCCGATCGGTGATTTTCGAAGCTTCGTTCAATATATGCTCCGCGTAAGGAATAGGTTCGCGCATGTCTGGAAAAAGTGGTTGACGAAAATTGGAAGAAATTAATAGTACTTGTGAGTCTGATTCCAAAGCTTTGGTCAAAAATTTAGAAAACATTTCCCGTTTTTCTACTGATTTAGTTAGAACTCCACTTCTAAAAAGGCGAACTTCTTTGAGTTTTGTCAAATTTAGTTTGTTTAATTTGAGATCGTATGGACACGTTTTATAATGTTTAATAAAATTCATCCGTTTTTTGTAATAAATACTCGAAGAATTTGCAATTGTAAAAGTTTTATATAATCCATTTGGTCCATGTTGTTGTGGTCCTTCATAATCATTCAGAGTAATGTTACGAAGAGCATTAAATAAAAAGTGTTCGGCAACGATTTTTTCTGATTGATTGTCGACCCATAATTCGTATTCTTTTTGAGTGATGAATTTTGCATTCGGAAACATTTCTTGTAATAATTTCAAATTATAATAGAAACTTGGTGAAAATGTTGTACACGCTCTGACTCTTGATATGCCGACATTGGATATCACCAGGATACGATCCAAAGCTTCAGCCAATCGAACGAATGATCTTATGTGCAAATTGGCTTTGGTTTCTTGTTCTGGCATGAAATAGGGGAATATGAATTTGCATTTATCCTTGCAATCTTGTAGTATTGATGATGTTGGTTCAAGTTGTACATTTTTCGGCGAAGGAAAAATATTATTATGTGATGGTGATGGTGATGGTGATAATGATGACGTTTGTTCAAATTGTTGATATTCCGGCGAAGAAGAAATGTTATTACGCGATGATAAATAATTCATGAAATTCCATATGGTAGATGTTATTACAAGTAATATTAACAGTTTCCTATATACTCCCCACCCATGTATATGATAATTTTGTTTTGTGTTGTTTATTGGTTTATACATTTTCATAACCCGCAGTAAAAACTTTTTGATTTTTAATAAATGACTTAATACTAATAATAATAATATTAATAATAAATTATTTAATTGATTTAATTGATTTTTTAATAATAATAATAATACAATTGATTTTTTAATAATAAAAATTATTTTTTTGATTTTTTAATAGCAAAAAATATTGATTTTACGAACTACTATTTATATATTACTTTTTTTTATTGACAATTAATTTATTAAGTTATTTCATTTAATATATAAATACAGGAAGGCTCGGGTCTATTGCGTAACCCGGGTTTTTCATACATAAATTAGTATATTCATTCAGATTAATAAATTATATTTTCTAATAGTGTTAGATTAAAAAAAAAAAGCCATAATTCGTCGTCATAATAATGCGATTGATCATGTTGTGTAAATATATATAACAACTATTTATTATACATATATTACAGAAAAGTTCGGTCACAACCATTTGGGGTGTTCAAAGTTGCTCCGTTTCATATCCATCTTTGGTAGTGATCTACAGAATATTAATTTATAGTGCATAATTAAATAAAACGTCAACTTGTAAAAGATTTGAAGAGGTATTATCAATCTCTGGTTCAGATAAATTCGATGAAAATTTTGATGAATACGAATTGCCTTTTGAACTGGATAAATACTTGTCATTGTTGTTGTATGTCACTATTATAGAGGAAGTTGTCCTTTGAATACTTGCCATTGTCATTATTAGAAGCGACTTTTTGATACTTTGTTGCACAGACATTCTCGTTTTCTTGTTTCCTTAAAAACCGTTTTAAAGGAAACAAGGGAAACAACAATTTGCTGTTCCTTCTCTCCAGTTCCTTCTGATCAATCAATACATAATAAACAGGAAACAATACTTTGGAACACCCCCTAATTCAATAAGCCAGAATTGGCTAATTTAATCAAATTATATGCATGTTTTGTTAAGCCCCAAATTATTAATACAAATTAGAGCCGTTAAGGCTTATAAAACAATATATCCAAATTTGGAGTAATGGGAAAAATATTAATATTAATATTAATATTAAACTCGGGGCAAAGGCCAAGCGATAATAATAAATTCGTACGACGCAATGCTTAAATTTTAGTTGCACGGAAAAAAAAATAACATGGAGCCAAGTATTTTTAGGCGTAAATAGCAAATTATTCTAAAATCTATAATTAAACGTAAGTGTAAAATTCCTAATTTGCAAAATTCACATGACAGTATTATCCAAATTTATTTTAATTGATAAGTTTATTGGCCGTTAATATTAATAGTAAGTATTATTATATTTAAAAATAACAAATTGCTATCCTAATTCGTTTAAAAATGCAACAAATTTATAAATTAATATAAATAATTATTCTTCAAATTTGAAAATACTGTTTTTTTTTTTTACAAATAATGACATCAATTGGTTGGTATTTACGGCAACATTTTTAAAAACAAGCATAAACAAACAAAAGGCCTTTTGGGACCAGGACTTGATGAACTTGTAAATTGCTGCATATGTTGTTTTATTAGAAACACCACATAACTCTGAACAGAGGAGAAGGAAAAATGTTTAAAATCGAATATGCTAGATTTCAAACTTCTACTTCATATTCAAACCTGATCAAATGTTTCCAACGGCAGTATTATGAATTAATTTATAGAATAAATGAGGTTCAGAATTATTGTTTTTATTGATTGACAGGCGACTTTCATAATCAATTTTTGCATCGACTTTTCCTTTTTTGACATTTATATTTGGTTTTCTTTAATTTTGTTGTCAATCCACTTCATCATTTTCCAATTGGTTGATTTCATTTTGAATTTCCTGTTCAGGATTATTAAAGTTAATTATGACAACTATGAAAACTATGTATGGTATTACAGATACAGTAACGATCATTTATTAAGAAGGAGAACAACTATAGTTTCATCGTAATCATGACATCAGGGAACTCTTGAACTTAAGAATTCCCCCAAATTTTTATTAATAGGGGTCCTCAAAGATTCCTTGATTTATTATTAGGGGTTCTTATATATTTATATGATACATATAGTACACAGTGAATCTCGATTTAACGGATAGTTTGGGCAATTAGGGAAAATTTTCCAAAAATCCGTTAAACCGAGATATCCGCTATATCGAGAAGGTTTTTATTAAGGTTTATTATGAAACCGTTCTTTGAACTTTATCCGTAAAACCGAGATTTTTAATTAGTATCCGCTAAATCGAGATTCACTGTGCATATTTATTTAAAAAGTCTGATTTGTAAGCTTATTTCGAAGCCTTAAAATTTACATTTCATATATAATAATAATAAATTAAATTAAATTACTTGCACAAGATCCTTCCAGTGAGGTTTTTATCATGAAGAATTAAGTATATTATCATGATTTCGTAAAATTATAGGTATTTAATTAATTATTAATTAATTATTAATTAATTATTAATTAATTATTAATTAATTCAGTAATTAAAAAAATAAAAACCATTTGCCGTCTTTCCAAAATCCGTAAGTCGTGCGACTTTCATCTAAGCCGTGCCTGGTTTTTTTCGGCTTTTGGCGTGATCAAAAATTTGTCGTACAAAAATGTTTTTGTAATTGAATTCCAACGAATTGATGCAAGCAATGCAACCAATAATTAGAAAAAACCTAATTTTTTTGAGAAAGAATTTTGATCTACATAATCTTATTTTATTGCGAAAAAAAATTACATGTATAAAAGTAAAAATAGGCTATTATCTTGGCCCTTTGCTCTTTGCGACAAAGAAAATGCAATCCAAACCCAATTGTGGTTGTGTAATAGGTGAAAAGCAAAAGCTCACTTGCGTTCTCGGTTGTAAACTTGTTTACTAATTAAAAAAAAATATATTTTGTCATTAATATTAATATGCAGTTTTGGTTCCGATTTTATTGTTAATTGAATGCAAATAAAAAAAAAATATTATTTTGCTTTTTCATTATAAAAACTGAACACAGATTTTTAATACGTTCTTAACATTAATTAGAATAGCGTTAATGTTGCATGAAGCAATAATAATAAAATAAAAAAATACGAATAAAATAAACGTCAGGTAGCTGATTAACGAAAAAAAATCGCATCCTCACGATATTGAAAGGTACCGGATATTGAAAAAAGGAATACTGTTATTATTCATGTAGTGGTTTACAAGTCACAGTCCCTGTTGCTTTAGATCCAGTGAACTTAGCTAAAATAAGGAGATTGATAATAAGAATGTGAAAATGTATGAATCTATGTGAATTACTGACAAATTAATAGAATATGTACAAAGAAGCATAAATCTCATAGGAGGATTATTCCTTATGTATAATTTTAATTAAAATTTCCAAGTCACTATGATTGAAATTTTATATTTTACCGTAAATGTTTCCTAATTAATCTTTATTTTTTTATTTAAATAATGGTGAATTGTTTAATAAAATCTTAAGCTATTGTTTAAAAATAACGAATTAATTCTGAATCAACGTTTTCTACGTGAATAGAAATCAAAAATCTACTTTGAATTTTTTTATCGAAATTCTAATTCCACATCTGGAATAACAAAAAAATCGACTTCTTTTACAATATACGTATATATTATTATCAAGAATCGTGTTTAGAAAATGAAATTTTCGTCCTTTTTAAAATGCTTGGATCAGTCAGTGTTTTTCTGATCAAGGTGATTAAAAACTCTTGTAATACTTACCATATATCAATATTCCGAATGAGTGTAGTTTAAATTTCGATTCATCATAATACTATTTTATTAAAAAAAAAAATATATAATGACAACATGTTGCAATGTTCACAACAACCACAATTCTTTTTGATAAAAATAATAGCACACAAAAAAGATTGATGATCAATTTTGTCACAAGTGATAAAACGAATGTCCACTATGCTGCTGTACTTACAATACAATAAAACTTCTTCTTGACATAATTTGATTCTGAATAATTTTTGAATTTTATGAAAAAGTGAAACATAAAATTATATGTAGGGATAAGTGTATGAAAAGCATTAATAAAATTAATAAATATAATGGTTCTAATTATACATGCAGCCAAAGTATTTTGACACTGTCATAAAGGGTTGTTACACTTAAGTTTTTAATAGCAAGTGCCATAATTAATTTCTACTTTCTACCATCCCCACAAAAAGTTTAGATACTTATTTCCTAATTATTTCCTACTTATTTTTTACAAAACATACTTAAAACATAAGTCAAAACATATTTAAATCAAAAAAGATGATTCACTATATTTGCAAAACATATATGAATATACTTATTTTACAATTAAACATTCTTATTTTTTACAGTAATAGGAATGTAGATATCCTAATTATACACTTAAAATATACCTCTGAATTTTAATAATTCTTAAAACATACTTATTTTCTTGATTTTGTAATTTACCTTATATATCCTTAAAGCATACTTGAAATTTGAAATACAAATAATAAAATTATTCTTTTTGCGTCTAAAGAATTGACTAATCCAATTTCACTGATAAATGAATGTATATGACTAAATATATTTGATTAATTACACAACAAGGGTATTAGCATCAAACAAGGCGATGAAGACCAGGGAGCAAAATCCTATTATAAAATTCCAGGCATTCTGATAAAATTTTAGAATAGGCCATTTTCCAGGAATACTCTTACCACACCACCCAGAAACCCATGATTG